CACCATCTGTATATTGCATTGTGTGTTTACCACTCAAATTTAAACCCTTACTTAAGAAGATGTTTCAAATTGACTTAAATCTTCTTTACCTGTACTTTAATCTCATCTCCAAAAGTATCTATAGGGGCTATGCCACCAAATTTAAAATCAGTCACTCTGTGTATTTTTGAAAACTTTTTATGCATTCTTTCTCAACAAAGATTTTTGAACACCTACTATGTGAACAATGACAGGAGCTGGGGAGACAATGATAAAAATGGACTTTACAGTCTAATAGGTCCAAGATAAAGCAATAAAAAAGAAACATGGGTGCTCTAATTTCCAAAATACCAGTCTTAGATGCTTAATTAAATTTTAAGCTTAAGAGCAAAGAGTTAAGGGCTAGAGTTGCTTTACTCTTTCTTGATCCCCTTGTAGTACCAAGCAACAGAACATTTTTAGAGTAAGTGTGCAGTAAACAGTTGACTGTTTTGTTGTTAAATGGCTACTGCACCACAACTGTCTTTGTGCTATGTCTAGCAACTGAGACTTTAGGTCATTGTTCCCAGAAAAACATTTGCTGAGTGGCTATTTTGTGCCAGCCATTGTGCACGGCCCAGGTGGGCCTGGCTTGTCAAGCAGAGCATACTCTGGGTGAGACAGGCATGTAAACACATAATTATGGTAGCAGTTAAGATAACCAAGAATACTATAGGAGCAAACAAGGGTGACCAACTTCATTTGGGGAAGTAACTTTATAATTATAATAGGATCTTTAAAGTATAGAACGTTGTCAGGCAGAAAGAAATGGAAAAGGCTACTCTAGGTCGCAAGAACATCATGTACAAAACTACAGAGACATGAAAAAGCAGTTGGGTTTGGAGATTAGCAAAGCATGAAGTATGGATAGAATTTAGGTTGGGTGGGAGCTGAGTGATGAGAGATGAAGCCACAGCTGAACTGAAAAGAGCTTTGTATGCCAAAGTAGTGAACCGAGATATTATTCTATAGAGATTAAAGAACAAATGGAATGTTTTAAGGATGGAAGAATTATGATTAGATGCTTTTATTTATTTGGGGGGTGACCACCTGTTGACAATGTGGTGATTTGAATAAGTAAGGATAATTTGATTATAGAAAGATCAGGTAGGCAACAGTTCCAGGCTCAATATGATAAAGGCCTAGCTAGGCTGGAAGGTGAATTGGGGAGATTTTTCTGCAACAGAGTTGACAGAATATGTGGAGTTGGTAGGTGAGAAATACAGAGGTAAGGGAGGTAAATCAAGTCTGCACTGTGTTTCAGTTAGAAGCCCAATGGGAGTACTGACTTCATAAAATAGAAGGAAAGGCAGCTAATGAAAGGAAAGTTCGCTTTTCAATAATATATAAAAGAATGGCATGCCTGTCTAATCTACTCATGTTATACAAAAAGTAGGTACTACTTTCATATTTTCTCATTAAAAACAAAGCCACATACACAACTCAATCTTTGTGCAGAGTATAGCTGATCTGCACAGCTTTTACCTCAAAGAAGTGGTACAAAGACTGAAAAAATTCAAGAGCCACTATTTTCAAATAACCCAAGTACTACCAGTATTAATTCAATTTTAATTGTTTGAATATCTTTGATGATGTATTATTCCTGTTGAATAAATGCTTTTTTCTTTGTTTACTCTGGCTGTGGTAGATACTTCCAGATGTTCTCCAATATTGCTTCTTCTCTACTTTCTGTTAAGAATTGAACTCACCCCCATACTCTCCAACATTCCTTCTTCACTTCATTTTATGGAAACATGACCTCCCAGTTACAGACTATATTTCTCAGTATCCCTTGAAGCTAAGTTATTTTATGTGCTAAAGTTCCAGTCAATGGGAGAGGAATGGAATTGTTAAATGTTACTTTTTTTTTTTTAAGGTAAGCCATTTTTTATTTTTCAGCTACAGTTGACATATACAGTATTATATTAGTTTCAGGTGTACACCCCAGAGAAAAACAGTTAGTTACCTACAAGGGAGCTCCTATAAGACTGCCAATTTCTTTCTCAACAAAAACTTTGCAGGCTACAAGGGATTGGCAAGAAATACCCAAAGCGATGAAAAGGAAGGACCTACAACCAAGATTATTCTACCCAGCAAAATTATCATTTAGAATTGAAGGCATATAAAGGGCTTCCCAGACAAGATCTCTGTCATTTCTGAATTATCTCCTTAAAGACACTTGCTCTGGACTCTCTTGGATCCTTTCTTCTACGGGCTGTAACACAGATGTGATAGAGACCCAGCTTTGGTAATAGTGAGTACAACAGCAGGGAAGGTAATGCAGCAGAAATGAAGAAGCCTGTGTCCTTTAATGGTCTAAAAGAATCAATCTGCTGTGCCACCTGGAACAATGGAAATGTAATATGAGGAATACATCTCTATCTCTATAAGCCACTACATTTGGGTTTTTTGGTTCTGTTTTGTTGTTGTTGTTCTTATAACAGCTTAACCTCTATTCATTGGAATACAAGGTTTTTACTTTTATTTTTGAAGGAAAAAAAAAGTGTTTCAATTGTGCAAATTGCCTTTAGGGCCTTATGGGACAAACAGATTTTTAATTACAAAAGTCTAATGTTTCAGGTTGAACTTTCTGAATACTTATTATCACACCAAGTTTATTAACAAGGGCTTTTCTGTTGCTCATGATTTGCTAATTGTATTTTGAGTTCAAACAGAGAATGCTTAATTGTCAACATGGTTGATTTTGATTATGATCATTCTGTTGTTTGTAATGTGGTAGCAGTTTTCCATTTCTTTTACTAATCCTGCCAGTGAGCCCTGGTTAAATAAACCAAAGACCATTCAAGTTGCCTTATCTCTGTTTTTAGACTTAACCATAAATTAGATAAATAGGGGTGTCAAAAGAGAATGTCTAAAAAAATTGTTTACCACATTTTAACCTTGAAATAATAGTGTAAATTTGTATACCATGAATACCAACCTCCATTAAAAACTTTCTTGACTAAAGGGAAGCATTGGAAACAATTTTATTATATTGCCACTTTTTTGGCAGTTGGGGTAAAATATGATTTAAGGTTCTAGTTTTGCATATTTTAAGTAATAGGGAATCTGGCATCAGTGTTTTAATTACTAGCATAATGGATAGCTATTAGATGGTTTAGTTGTCCAAAAAGGCAACCAAAAAGATAGGTAAGAAAAGAATTAGAGCACCAGGTGATGATGGAATAGGCATAATATAGAAAGAACACATCAAAGTTATTATCCATGGCCACTTGCACAACTTACCTCAACATACATAGGACTGTCTTCGATCAACTGACTTGGAAAATAACAGCACTGCTGATCTCTCTGTCACTATCAATAATTCTCAACTTTAGAGAAGCTAAATCAGTTTCTTCGCCTTGCCTTCCCGGTAACCAGTGACAGCTGTTGCAGTGGAAAGAACTCCTGGCTAGGAATCAGGAAACTTCACTGCGGCACTGGCCCCCCCACTTACTCAGTGTGAATCTGGGCAGGTCCTTTAACCTTTCGACAGGGTGATTATGAAGTTCAGAATAAGATCACCTATGAGAAGTACTTGGGAAAACACAGACCTTTATACAAATATACAGCAGTATGTATGTGTGTGTGTTATGCAAGAAAAACTAACATTATTAATAATTAAAGCCACCTATACATGTATTTGTTCATATACACATAAGAACACACACAATCTGCTAAATTAAAACCTTTTACTATTTAGAGTTTTTGTCCTGACTGCTTCTAGAATGAGTCAAGCAGGTTATAGATTTACACACAATGCAATGGTGTATTGAGAAGCTTTGAAACAAAACAAAGTCCACGCAGTTGACATTTAAGAAATATTTTTAGTGGAGACCTCCTGCTCTTCACTGATGGCTGAATGCAAAACAGATAAGGAGATTTTGTAAAAATAATAATGGGTTACTAATAATTTACTGAACTCTTGTGAACTACCCCCCTCCAAATAAAAGTTAGAATCTTGACAATGACGCACTTCTAGCCATAGGGTTTCACCCTTATCCCATTGCTCTGCCTTCCCCTGCCTGGGTGATAAAGTTAATAGGCCAGCTCTGCCAGAGTTTTCAGGAAGTGATAGCTGGGAGGTGTCAAGTTCCCATAGTGGAATACAAGGCACACATTAGGCTTGCACCCTAAAGCCAGAATTGTTATTGTCACATTCTTTTGAACATTTTTCTCAGTGATCACCTTTAATCATGAGATTAAGGAATAAGAAGACAATTATGAGAATAACTAATCTTTCTTTTCCAAGTCCCATATAACTTAATACTTATTGAGGTCCCAATAATCTTCTTTCCAAAAATAAGTTTAAGTGAGCTTCATTCATTCTACTTGTAAATAAAGTAGGAATTAAGTTTATTGTGAGGTGGAGGGTAATACAAACACCTTTGATCATCAGTTCTGACAATACCATTGTATTTTGAAACTATCCATCAATTCCTTTTGATCTTCATTTTAAAATAATCCAAAGTAAAGCATTGCATTTTATGGTCTCAGTCCTCAATGTGAACAACAAATATATTAAACTGTATTTTAATTGCACAGATTCATGTTGATGGTCATCTATCTCAAACTGAAACTCTCAGAGTAATCACTAGATTAACATCGGGGCTAGCAAAAAATGATACTTGAAATTGTCCCCCCACTCCTGCAACTCTTCTGTTTTAAAAAATATGATAACATGTAAAATGGGTTAGAATCTCTGCACAGATGCCATGGAAACAAAGAGTTAAAGCTAACCATTGGACACCATTACCGTACTTGGTTCTGCTGCTGTGGTTGGTCTCATCACTTAACCAAAACATCATTCTGGGAGCATCATCAGACATCAAAAAAATGCACACAGCTGAGACACAGGTCTTCTAGAAGCTGGAATTTCTTCTCTAGACTAATACTTCTATTTTCTGATGTTTGTAAGAAACAGTTCCTAGAAAAAATTCTGCAGCTATGTACTCAAAATATATCTTAGAACCATAATTTACCTCTGTTCCAAAGGAGATCTTCCAAAAGCAGAGACTCATTTAGTATCACAGTGTACTTGCCAAATAGGCTGCAGAGCGCATGGACCTGTTTTACAATTGGAGGCCTGAGTGTCATCCTGGCCTTGACCAAGCAGAGAGGATGAGAGGAAGCAATGACAGTCACGTAGTCCACTCATTTCTTGAATGTGCATTTGTGAGCTCACATGTCAATGGCAGACTCCTTAAACAAATAAGAATATATTGGGAATGCTGGTATGCTGGTCCTTTTGACTAGAATGTAGACAGTCTCCCAGAGCAGCTGAAAAATGTATGCAAATAAATGTGGTCAAGTTCACCCCAGACTCACCTGATCCCTCTTGTCCTCTTGGAGTGCTGAATATCTGCCAGGAAGTTGGCTAGGACAGAAACAGTGGGGGAAGGAGAGGGGGAGATGGCGGTGGTAGGGGGAGAGAGAGAGAGAAAGAGAGAGAGAGGAAGAGGTTCCAAACCCTTAGTCTTTATATACCCACCCCCTCTCTCTGTCCAAACATCCTCTTCACTCTGATTGGCTTTGGTTCTCTCACTGCCCCTTGCCTTTGAAATGTTTTCCATTCAGCAGTACTCAGGGTGTCTCCAACTTCCCCAAAGTATCTGCACACGTCCTGGGCATGTATGTCTATTTCCACTGACCTGAAGTGACAGTTAGTGGGAGGTAGCTTCTTGTAACTTCTTTTCCTGGAAATTTATCTTTCCCTTGAATGGCTTGTCTTGGTTCTTCCAAAAGGCTAAAGGAGGCTATCTATTCTCTTTGCCTGAAGGTTATAAACCATACTGTGATTCTGTTCTAGAAGGATGTTCTAGAAGGACTGGCAGAAGGAAAACTCAGCTTCCATATTTGAATCCCTCTGTACCTCATCTTCCAAATCAAGTACCTCCAAAAATTTATGAGCTCATTTTTGTCTTTCTCTTTGTCATCTTCCCATCCAGATTAACAATATTTTTCATTCTTTTTTAAAAATCATTTTAAATTTACTGGGCTTATTTTTTGTCTTTTTTTATTGTTGTTTAAGAACAGTTGTCTCCATATATTTTTCATTCTTAATCTGACTTTTTCCTTTATTACAAAGTTTTATTTAAAGTTCATATTGACACATTTGATGCTACAGATTGTTTTCCTAAGAAAAAAATTCTATATTCCTAGCTTTATAGAATCAACACATGTGACTTCCAAAAAGTAACTACTGAAATAATTGTATTTGTCATTTCATCTTCATTTCTTGACTGTACAAATGAATGTTCAGGTCAAATTATATCATGATAGAACAAAGGAGTTGTTTTCAAGTTCTTTGTTAGAAGTGAAATTTTATTGTACCCATTATTGAGTGAAAACAAAAGAGAAGCTTAGCAATCATTTAGCTACATGCAGACTTTGCTATTATAATGGTTTTTGCTGAGATGGCAAATATCTAATATCCCATTGTTGACTTTCACCATGACCATTTCTGATAACCAGGATGTGATAGCATGATTGCCTAAATGTAATAGAATTTCATAGTCTTGGTCTACACAGAGACTGCAAAAAGCATCTTCTAAAATCTAGTTTAATTGCACTTAACTGTTTTTGGCCCAATAGATGAATATGAGCTTTCCCTGAAGTCTTCATTTTGGTGAAATCTAACTGGTAATGAGATTTAAATGTTCAACAAATAATTGATAACATAATCACATGAAATCTTCAAACAAATTCCTCCTTCCCAATTTCTCTGGATGGAGATGTCCTGAACGTCCTTTCAGAATTCTCAAATGTTGAGTTATTTTTGATTCAGAACATTTCCACTGGTTGCCCTTGAGTGGACACACCATATTATCACATTACCTTTGGAATCTCTGTAAACTGTGACCCACATTCTCAGCGAGGCAACTAAGATATAAACACCTTCTTCTCCATCGACTTTTTTTAAATGACATTTCCCTTGAGTAACTGGTCACCTTGCAAGGTCCATTGAATTGAGTACATGTGATACAGCTTCCTATGAATTATAGATACTTTTTTTGCTCAATTTAGAAGTACCAAGAACTCTATTAGTATTTCCCTACATATTTGAGTTGCAAAATTCACAATATTGTCCTAGAGAATTACATTCCTCACTATTTCTTGTACTTTCTTTCTTCCCATCCTGCACATCAATTATGCGTGTGTGCAAATGCATGCTCATACATCTATGGTTTTAAAAGTTCTAGGTTAATCCTCTATTTAAATCACAATTCAGACTTTGATAAAAAGAAAAATATTTTAAGGGGATCAAATGGCACAAACTTCCAGTTATAAAGTAAATATAATGGTTCCTGGCTGGCATGGTTCAACAGGTTGAGTGCCAGCCTGTGAAACAAAAGGTCACCAGTTTGATTCCCAGTCAGGGCACATCCCTGGGTTTGTGGGCCCGGTCTCCATTTGGGGGCATACGAGAGGGAACCGATGTTTCTGTCCCTCTCTTTATCCCTCCCTTCCCCTCTTTATAAAAATAAATAAATAAATAAATATTTTAAAAAATAAAACAAAATAAATATCATGGGAATGTAATATACAGCATGGTGACTAGAGTTAATAATACTACATTGTATATTTGAGAGTTGCTAAAAGACTAGATGTTAAAAGTTCTCATCATGAGGAAAAAAAATTAGTAACTATGAAAGGGAATGAATGATAACTAAACTTGTGGTGATCATTTTGCAATATGTACAAATACTGAAGTATTATATACCTGAAACTAATAATAAGGTTGTATACCACTTATACCTCAATAAAAAATTTTCTGATGTAAAAAATAAAAAAATTATTAAGCTCTTAATATTCATTATTGTTCTCTGCAAATCAGAGATGTTATCTTTTAAAATAATCTTCTTCACATGGTCTATCTAAAAAAATCTTGTGATGTCATTGGTTCTTTGTCTTCACCTTCCCTCTCCAGGTGCCTGAAAGGGTCCTAACGAAGGCTTCAAATGTTCTGTCTCCTCCCAGGATATCTTCATTTTAATCCATAATGAAACTTAATGAATTTCTAAATGGAAGGGTCCAGGTACCCTTGATGGGGGCGGGAAGAATTGGAGTGGGAAGCATTTCCAGTGATTTTGAAGGAAGAGAGCAAAAAGAAAAATCACAAAATGCATAGCTTGAGATTTTAATGAGCAAAATTGTAGCAACTAATAATAGTATTTTCATACATTATTTCTAATCTTTACCCTGCAGAGTAGGCATTATTATTATTAGCCTCATGTTTACAAATAAGGAAGCTGAAGCTCCCAGTTGTTAAGTGGTTTGCCCAAGGTCAGATAGCAGCAAAGTGGCAGAGCCAAGGTCCACACCAGGTCTATGGACACCCATGCCCACCCATCAAAGTCTGCACATTTTACTAAACTCTGTCAGAAGACTTCTGGGAAGGATAAGTGAGAGTTCAAAATCTCTAAGTATCAGCTCCAGGTAATTTGGAATTCATACAGAAAAGGAGGTTGGACCAGAAGATACAGCTGAAGACCCTAAAAATGTTCCTCCCTGCATGTTTTTAAAACCCAAGAAAGGTATAAGAGTAAAATAAAGAGAACATGGCCTTAGAAGTCAGAAAGCCCTGGGTCTGATTCTGTTTCTGCCAATTATTATACTGGCTCTTACCTTAGGTAAAATTACTTAGTTTTTTTGGAGTCAAGTTCTCCCATACAAAAATTGACTATAGCAATATCTATTTAATTGGGCTACTGTGAGGATTAAAGAAAATAACTTATATGTAAGTCTCAAGATGAGTATCCCACTCATACAATGCTGTCAATCAATGGCTCTTCTCAATCCTCTCACTGATTGCTATAGTTTATTTACAACCTTTAAGTAGCTGGAAAGGAAGATACTTTTCAAGTCTGTCACAACCTATTCTTCAGTGAGCACTGGACAGCAGCTGCAACATCATGGCTAAGAGCATGAATTCTAATCCTAACTGCTGGTTCAAACCCTGGCTCTACTCTTTAAAAGTTATGGAATCTTAGCACATTTGTTCAACATTGTTGTGTTTATTTTCTTATTTGTAAAGTAGGGCTAATGATGGCACTTACCTTGTGAGATTTTATAAGATTCTAATTTTTAAAATGGGTGAAGTGCTTAGTATGTGCCCACTTAGTTACTGGCACTTAGAAAATGATCCATAAATGCTAGCTACTATTATTAGCTAAGTAAATAACACAGCTAGAACAATGATTCTCAATTGGGGATGATCTTGCCCTCTCAAGGGACGTTTGCCAATGTCTGGAGACATTTTTGGTTGCTGCACCTTGGCAGGGGGATTGCATCTAGAGGGAGGAGGACAGGAAAGCTGCTCAACATCCTAATATACACAAGACAACTCCACAGCTGATTACCCACTCCAAATGTCAATTGTGCCAAGGCTGAGAAATACTGAGCTGAGAAAAACCACTCCTGGTCATCAGAGATTCTGAGATAATTTCCCCATGGGGCATAAGAGGTTACTAATCAAATATTGCTGGAGAACAAAGTATCCTTATAGAAACTGCACTGAATTTAATGTCAAGTAAACTAATGTGGAAAAGCCAAGGTGCTTATTGGCTGTATGGGATTCTAACAACTCAGTGTGTTTTAGAATAGTGTTAAAATGCTCCTTTAAAAGAGTAGTATTTATTTCTCATTAGAGTCACTATTCTAAAATTCACTGAATAAGAATTCTGCGAGTAGATGATACAGGAGTGCAGGTCCCATACAAACTGATGTTTTCAAATTTATCTGCTGTCCTTTCCCCAAAGGACCTAGCAAGGGAAAATTGTCTCCTTATAATCAAAAGTGTCATTAATTTTCATGCTCCTTTATATTTTCACCCTCCTCATCCTAGTGGGTCATGGGATTGTTTAAAGAAAACTAAACATGAAGGACCTAAAACATCTCTTTCCTTGCAGTCTCAATGTCTTGTGTGAATATAGCAGGATCTTTAGCTGGGAGGATTCCTTACCAATCCTCTCTTTGAGCTTCTCTGTATCTATTCCAGCTTGAGTTGAAGACGGTAAGTTGACAACTTAAACTACAACTTAAAAGTCCAGGGGATGGCTTTTCCTTACTAAAAACTAGGCTTCGAATTCTGAGGAAAACAGGGAGCTCTCCATGAGGGACACACTCTTGGTCTGGACCTTCATTATTTGGGACTTGATGGTTGCTACTCAGGGGACGGGACAGTTAAAATGAGGTCTTTTCCTTCTTCAATCTTTGGTAGGGAAATATTGCTCAAACACAGAATGCTGTTCTAAAGAACAGAAGGCACATGAAGAGGTCTGATTCCTTTTTCATGCTTTCCAGTGATATCCGCCATAGGGGCTCATGTGTGTTTAGAATGGACTCAGTACTGACTGCTATGTGTCAAGGAAGGACTATATATTATTCTGACTGCAGTGAGCTGAATAATAGTGCCCAAATATATCTAGTT